TCGAAGCTTGTGAGGCGGCCTACAAGGACGTTGTTGAAATCAGCCAAGAGCACGGGCAGCCGATGCACCCAGTCGGACTGGCCTGGTCCTCATCTTCATGTTACAGGGAGCAGCATGCACCGGAGCGGGCCTGCCCCTCAGCCAAACAGGACTTCCAGGATGCCATAGCTGAGCTGGACACACTAAACAAGGATTCCTAAAGGATCTAACGCTCATCATGCAGTTGCAAGACAACCCCACCCTGTGAGGGACCGGCTCACCGGATGAAGAAGCAGGAGAAGGCAACTGAAAAGCCTTTGGGTCCCTGGCTCTTCCTTCACCCACCAGCCCCCATCATCACTGATTCTTCCTTGCCACAATCACTAGATATCTAGTGCTAAACCTATCTTATCGGTATTGGCAGCACAGCTACTCGGATCTGCTCCCTATCCCAGCATCTCTGAGCTCCTGACCCCAAGTGGAAGTGACACATAGGTGTGAGATGACACACAGGGAGGATGGATCAGGTATACACACCTGAGGGAAAACCAGACGGAAGGAGAACCAATGGAGGGAAAGCCAAAACATCACATGTGTGATTCAGATGGGGCATCCAGTTCTCCAAGGATCCAGCAAGGTCTCTGAACGGGGCAAGCAGGTCAAGAAGAGTCAGACAGAGATGTAATATGGGCAGTTCAGATGCTAAGGCTCAGATGAAGGCCTCCATTTTTCAAGGCCTGGTATTCACACTACCCAGTCTTGCCAAAGACTTAGCTCATAGCAGGCAAGGGTGTGTCCTTACCTGTCCGCATAACTTGGCAGTGAGGTGGGGAAAGAACAGCTGGGGCTACTTCTGCCGGACAGACTGAGAAATTAGGAGAAATGCCTTCTTTGGGCAAGGCGTAAAGTTTCCACCAGGTGGATGAGAGTGGTTGAACTAGTCTGTATGACGAGTAACTTGTAATCTAGTAGAAAAGGTAATTACTAGGCTTGTCACAAAGCAATTTGCCAGGACATTCCTTCCTTCCTTCCTTCCTTCATTCATTCATTCATCCATTCATCAAAGATCCATAGCTTTTGTTGAGGAACCTTTGGTATTTAATGTGAGTTAAGGGGGCTGAATTTCTGCCACATACGGGTAACAGGTCTGTTCGCCTAGTTAAAATTCCATCAGCTCTTGATACCAGTTGGTCTTCTAGTATAACAGATCACAGAACAGGCAAGCAGGTTTTAAACCCAATGAGTCTGTGGCTAAGTAGTATTGCTGTGGTCACCTTTGTAAAGGCCAAGAGTGTCACATTACATTTTTCAGCTTTCATAGACGGTGTGGCCAGGAAATCCTTTGGGCCAAGTGTTCACAAACACGGCTGACCTGAGGCTCTTAGTGCTTATGTACATTTTCCTGGAAAACCTGTGACAAAAACAAGTGGGCAGAAATGTTCTTATAACAAATTAAATCTCAAACAATACCTAAACCTCCCCCTACACTCTCATCATTTCTATTATTAGGTAGGTAGTTCTACACTTAAAAAAAAAGCTTCACTGAGATATAATTCACATGTCATGAGATTCACCATTTCAAAGTTTACAACTCAGTGATAGAAGCACATTCACAAAGTTGTTCATTGATTACAAAATATCTTTACCACACCAGAAAGAAACCCCATACCCATTAGCAGCCAATTGTTGTTCCCACACCTCTCCCCAACTTCTGGCAACCATGAATCTACTTTCTGTCTGGATTTACCTAATCTGGATATTTCATTTAAAGTGAATCATATATGCCCTTAACCAGTTTGGCTCAGTGGATAGAGCGATGGCCTGTGAATTGAAGGGTCCCAGGTTCGATTCTGGTCAAGGGCATGTACCTTGGTTGTGGGCACATCCCCAGTAGGGGGTGTGCAGGAGGCAGCTGATTAGTGGTTCTCTTTCATTGATGTTTCTAACTCTCTATTCCTCTCCCTTCCTCTCTGTAAAAAAATCAATAAAATATATTAAAAAAATAAAGTGAATCATACAATATTTACCTCTTTGTGTCTGGTTTATTTCATTCAGCTTCACATTTGTAAAGTCCATCCATGTTGTAGCCTGGATCAGAATTTCATCCAGCCCCTTTATGGTTGAATACTATTGTGTAGTCTACACTCTTCACCCTGAAGGACACATATGCTCTTCCATTTGATGTTGTGGTTTTATCACACACTAGGAGAGACTGAATAAGACATTGTTTCTGCTGTTCAATTATTCTTCATGTGATTATGCCAAAAGTAAGATGGTGGTTTTCCGCGGGCATTTTCCATAACTTGGACGAACAGAGCCAAACAGCCTGTCCTGATTTCTTCATTGAGTTCATTTCCTAGCATGTTCTGGGGGAAGGTAGCAGCCAAAGCTGGTGGGTATTAGATGTGTGGCAGAGTCACAACGGGCCTCTTCTATGGGTGGGAGAGAAAAATCTTGCTCCTAAAATCCTCAAAGCTAAGAATGATCTCTGACAGACTTTATGGGGGTGTGGTGGGGATCTGGGCTTGGCTGAGCATGTAACTATTTATTCATTCTTTTCTTCATTCATCACAGGGTGGGATAAAAGGAGATTCAGAGACATGCAAGAGAACAGGGGAAATGGGCATTGGCTAGAAAAAGAAATCTCCTTCCTCATTGGGTTCTCTGGTCTGTGAGTCTCCACCATGGGCAAGGCCACCTGGCACACAGCTGGGAGGGCCTGGAATCTGTGAGGCTCTCCCTATATCTTAGAGTTGGCAACTTTGGAAGGCGAGCCAGGGCCATAGAGAAACCTGAGTGGACACATTCCATGTGTGGGCAGCTACTGAGCAGGGTGATGGGCATGCCTAGCATTCGGAATTTGGCAGCATGATAGCACCCACGGAATTAAAGCTAACACTCAGTTTTATGTTAATTAACTCAATCAGTAAAACTCAAATGCCAGGTGTGTTTGCAGAGTATTTGTATGTAGGAGGCAAATTATCTGGCTTAGGGTTTTAGATCCTCCTTAGTAGGAGCCTCATGAAACTCTTCATTTTGTGCCAGGTATGGGAGTGATGGCTGGACTTCAGGTGCTGGACCCAGAATGAAGCATTTCTGTTTGTTCTACAATGGGCACTGAGTAGGCACCCTTGACAATCCTAATTGGAGTGACAATGGGCAGTAGTCCAGTCTGTTGAGGACACAGAATAATCCAGATGGCATTTTTATTAGGAGAATCCTGGCAGTGTGTGTGAATATGGGGCCCCCACAAGGCACTCACAGTCCTGGGAATACCTTTGAACTTGGTTGAGAGTGACACTGCCACACCATTCCTAGAAAGATGGTATTATGGACTGAATTGTGTTCCCACACAATTCCTATGTTGAAGTCCAGTCCCCAATACTCAAATGACTATTTGGTGATAGGACCTTTAATGAGTTAAAGTTAAAATGAGGCTGTTAGGGTGGGCCTTAACCCACTATGATGGGTGATGTTCTTATGAAAAGATTAGGACATAAGACACAGAGGGGGCAAGATCATGTGAAGACACAGGGAAGAAGACGGCCATCCACAAGCCCAGGAGAGAGGCCTCAGAAGACACCAATCTCGCTGACACCTTGATCTCAGAATTCCAGCCTCCAGAATGGTGAGAAAATACACCTGTTGTTTAAGCCACCCACTCCGTGGAACTTTGTTATGGCACCCTTAATGAACTGAGAGAGATGGTATAATCAGCAAGGAAGGCAATGAAAATGGGGTCCTGTTTTTCTTAAGTCATGGGGTCATGTAAGGGTGTTAAGGGTTGGAATTACTGAAATTGATATCTTTGCCCAATACAAAATTTAAGATAATGACTGTTTGCTTATTGTTAGTTTTTAGAGGGGCGGGGGCAGATCTGCCAGGACAGTTAGGGAGAAATGGCCCTGGCCCCAAGCACCCTGGTGGCCTCCAGCCTGGGGCTCCAGCAGCAGGTGGGCCATACTCTAGTGCAGGGGTCCTCAAACTTTTTAAACAGGGGCCAGTTCACTGTCCCTCAGACCGTTGGAGGGCCAGACTATAGTTTTAAAAAAAAACTATGAACAAATTCCTATGCACATCGCACATATCTTATTTTGAAGTAAAAAAACAAAACGGGAACAAATACATATTTGTATTTGCATGTGGCCCGCGGGCCGTAGTTTGTGGACCCCTGCTCTAGTGACTATAACTGCGAACTCCACAGAAGAGGCTCATTTTAGCTCCTATTTAATTGTAGTCAGATATTAAACATTTATAAATTTTTATACAACAAATCAAGTACATGCAAAGTTACAAATATAGAAAATATAAAGTACATGCATATTCCAAAGACCACTTTGGATCCTTATACAAAACTATTCAGTGCACATGGTAAGTCTAAGGACCACGCAAAAGGGTTCCCCACATATTTAGTACCTTACACAACAGGTAATGCATTAGATACTTCAGATGTTAACTGCTCTAACCAAAATTTGTCATATGCAATATATACACATATATATGCATATATATGCACATATATATATATTACATAGAATACCCGCATAGTGTAAGCCAATAACATTGCAGAATAGTAATATAGATCTGCTAGGCGACAATATTGAATGATCGAGGGAATAATTTTATCTTACTTAAATAACAGGAACAGAATTTCTTTTCCACTCAGAATGGATCATATTTCTGTCATCTCCAACCTAAGATTTTTCTTTGTGGATTGATTCCTTATTTTCCAACTCAAAAGCCAATTACAGAGATGAAGGATTCAACCTAATTCTGGTTTTTGACAACTATGAGACAGCAATGAAGAAACGCAAGCATTTCTTCATTACATAATCTTCTGTGATAATGGTGTTTTTACAGCTAGTTTCCTTTATATTAATCTCCTGGCTTCACCCAATGTCAAAATCATTCTTATTTCCAGGTAAATGAACAAAGGAGATTTGTTCTTAGTGTCCAGAAGGTAACCTAATTTTTAACTGCCTTCTATTTCCAGGTAAATGAACAAAGGAGATTTGTTCTTACTTAGTGTCCAGAAGGTAACCTAATTTTTAACTGCCTTAATTATCTAGTTGATGTTACTAATGGAAAGGAATGCCACATGTAGGTACCCTCCAAAGGCACCACTCCCAAATGTTGGATTTTTTTAGTCCCAGAAGCCTTTCATATCATGTTAGTAATGATCATTTCCTATGAAATGTCCTCTGCCCAGAGGTCTAATGTTGCATGAATATTACTCTTGATGCAATAGCTGCTGTGTAGCCTATATTGTGAAATGCAAAAGAATGTCACAGTTCTCTGCAGACACAGGGCTGAGCCTGGGCCCAAGAGCTAAGGATTTTTAGTCCTATTTTTTCAATGAGTATCCTTCCAAAATTTGCAGAAATGCTATTTAAACAGGCGAATGCAGTCAGATTTGCTTAAATAAATGAGAAAATGTGTCCAAATTGCTACAAAAACACTGGTAACTAAGACGGGGCATTAGTGTACTGAGCTGTAGTGGGGCAAGGAGCCGGAGGTATCTAGGCAAAAGTATCTGAGGACTGTTTTTAGAATATGTTAGCCTCAGTGTTGCACTAGGCAAAAAATAAGCCTAGGCCATGGAATGATTATTTGCTGTCACATTTTTACCAGCCTGGCACTTGCACTAGCCCATGAAGGAAAAGGGGCTTGAATACATAGTGTGCCAGGCCTGCTCTACATTTCCCTGTGCCATCAAGCCAAGGGTATTAGCCTACGGGTGACAAAGGGAGAAGCAAGAACGAGACACCACCACTAAAGGGCTGCAGGTAGATACCCCTTCCCCCCCAAACAAAAAGCTGCCCTCACCCCACTATTAGGAAAATGAGAAAAGAGATGAGGAGGATCACAGGAGGGGAGGAGAAGAGGATCACGCTCGCCCCTCTTTGGTAAGAAGCCTGGTACTCTTTCTGGTACTGAGTGGTGCACATCTCCTCCACCACACGCTCCATAATCTTGACGTCTGTCTCGGTGATGTTCTCCCCCTTGGTGATGGTGGTGACCGTGTGCTGCTTGACCGTGATGTTGACGCAGTCGCGCACAAAGTTGTTCTGGTTGTTGTACTGATCCACAGGCTTGTAGTACACTTGGTCGGGGAAACGGTTCATGTTTTCACGATAGTAACGGTCCTCATACTCATTGCCAAAATGCATGGGAGGCCTGCTCATGGCACTTCCCAGCATGTAGCCTCCCAGGCCCCCCACCACTGCCCCGGCCGCGGCAGCTCCTGCCACATGCTTCATGTTGGTTTTTGGCTTATTTGGCTTGTTCCACTGATTGTGGCTGCCACCACCATGGGGCTGTCCCCAGCCTCCACCACCATGGGGCTGTCCCCAGCCTCCACCACCATGGGGCTGACCCCAGCCGCCACCGCCCTGGGGTTGACCCCAGCCGCCGCCCTGGGGTGGGTAGCGGTTGCCTCCAGGACTACCCTGCCCCGGGTATCGGCTCCCGCCGGTGTTGCCTCCTCCAGGCTTCGGTCGCTTCTTGCAGAGGCCCACGTCACTCCATGTGGCCACAAAGAGAAGCAGGATCCAGCTGCCTACGAGGCTTTTCACCATGATGACTTATCTGCAAAATGAAGAGGGTGTCAGAGTATTAGGTCTATGTTAAAAGCACTGAACATTTGCTGCCTAACAAATGACTGCACAGCAGTGACATCAGCACCTCCGGCACATGCTCTTCACTCTCTGTTCTCCTTCGAAGCACCTCTGACAAAAGTAACTGTCAAGTAAAGGGTTAACACAACACTTTCTCCTTCTAGGGATGATTTTGACCTTAAGATCATTTCGGCTCTGTTTCTGGGAAATGTGATAAAGGTGGAGTGTCAGCAACATTGCTTATGGAAAAAATAACCTCTGATTTAGAAATGCAACCGGACTGGGAAAACCTAAGAACACCTGGTGGGTTGCCATCAGTTTGGGCTTTCGAGCAGTGATCCTTGAACCTGACACATCCTTGTGGGGACCCTGGAAGCTGTGCCCATTGGGCTGTTACAAGGGACAATGGCTCCTGTGGAGCCTGGGGCTTCTACGCCAAGGAGACACCTGTTACCCACCAATATGGGTCTCATGCCCTTAAACCTGAGCAGGCACTATGGGGTCTGGGGGTGGAGACAAGACCCGGGCTGCTGGGTGGACCACTGTACAACCCTGGTGCGGCCCCTATGGAAGTCTGTGAGTCTAATGTCCTGTTAGGAAGCTCCCAGGTGGGTGCTGCTGTAGTGAAACGCAGTTGATTTCTGTCTTTTCTCCCCTGTAAGAATGTAAGCAGGAAAGAAGTCTCTTTGCTGCGATTTCCTCTGGGGCCAGGGCAGTGCCTGGCACAGAGCAGGCACACAATAGATATTTGTTAAGTGCAGGAATTAACATCCCCTGAACATATAAATGCCAACAAGAATTTCCTTAAAGGAAAACTTTTTTATTTTTTGAAACAGGAAACAAGCCCACTTATAAATTCATCTTTCTCTCTATACATGGACAGACAGATGGAGCTGCTTAAAGTGGGGTAAAGATGGCTGTGCTCACAAGATCTGCACTCACTCACTGGCTGAATAAGTTTAGCTCAGCAGGTGATGGTTTAGGAGTGACCTATTTTCTTCTAATTTTTGGTACAGAGAAACATGTCTTATATAAAAGGGCTTAAGAAAAAACAAATAACCCAAATATCCTGGGTGATAATTTATGCCCCTTTGCAGAATCCAATTTTTAAAAAATCTCCTTTCAGACAAAAGATCTCATTTATCCTGGGTGCTCAGGTCCAAGGGCAAAGCTCTAAGCACACAGTAGAATGATTATTAAGCAGTTTCTACTGTACCCCACGTCAGACCATACGCTCTTTAATGTCATTAGGTGCCATAAACCAAAAGTGGCATATGCTGTAATGCTGATGTTACTCTTATCCCCAGCACTGTTTATCTTCAAATAAAAGTGGAATCAAGGACTAGAAAATGATTTTTCATAACCTTCAGAAAAGAAGGATGAAATAAATAAATGAATTAACATCCTGTTTATGTTTTTACTATCATAGAAATATCTTGGAGATCAAAAGTATGTTTGAAAGTTATGAGCCACGTTAAACTGCTTAGATCAGGCCAATGTAGGACTTTTGGAGGCTCTTGGGTAAGGATCTGAGGGGAAGGGTTCTGGCACATGACCTGCTCTCCATTTGCTCATGGCACCCAGCTCCTGGCCTCCATGCTGTTTGCCCTTCTGCACAAACACCTCCGGGAACTAAACTAGGGGATTATCACTCTCAGTCAATAACGCCCAACCAAAAGGGGTTTTGTGTCAACAACTATTTCATTCATTCCCATGAGCCAAACTCAGACAACACCCTAGAGCAGTGATGGCGAACCTTTTGAGCTCAGCGTGTCAGCATTTTGAAAAACCCTAACTTAACTCTGGTGCCGTGTCACATATAGAAATTTTTTAATATTTGCAACCATAGTAAAACAAAGATTTATATTTTTGATATTTATTTTATATATTTAAATGCCATTTAACGAAGAAAAATCAACCAAAAAAATGAGTTCGCGTGTCACCTCTGACACGTGTGTCATAGGTTCGCCATCACTGCCCTAGAGCTATTCTTGAATTTTTTCTTTCTCACAGCACACACTGACTCTATCAGCAAATCTTATTAGCCTATCTTGAAAACAAATCTTAAATCCTGAAACCTGTCACCTTTTCCAACACTACCATCCTAGCTGAAGTCTTCTCCATCTCTTCTGGCCGGAGTCTTTACAGCCTCCAACCAGCTCCCCGCTTCTGCACAGGTCCCCATTGTGTGTTCTCCACTCAGTGGCCTGAGAGAGCCTTTTCATATTCAGGTCACACCCGGCTACTCCTTTGTACTCAGGATAAAACCCAAGTCCTGAGCATGCCAGGCAGGCCCCACACGACCTCTCCACTGTTTCTCACATCTGGCAATACTTCCTTATCTCGGGTCCTTTGTACCTGCTGCTCCCAGAGCCTGGAAGCTTCTTCCTCCAGTTCCTCTTATGGCTCTGGTCTGCTCTGACGACACCTCAACAGGTGTCCACGCCACCCTCCATAAGTCAGCACCCCGTCATATCCCTCACCCTGCTTCACTTTTCTCCAGGGCAGCAATGCTACTTAACATCTATTGTTTACTGTTTGCTTATTGTTCATCTTCTCCAGGACAGGAGTTTTGTTTTGTGCACAGCAGTATCCCTAGTGCCTAGATGTCATGTCTAACTCATAGACATGCAAAATAAATGTTGAATGAATGAATGTGTGTGAAAACATCTATGATAAAGCATACAAGATAAGCTAAAAATTAAATTTCTATCTACAGTGAACCATATTTATGAATTTACAAAACATATTATTTTCTGCAATGGCCAACTGTTTACCATCTTCAACTCAGTTAAATAAATATTTAGTTCATGTACCAGCCACCATGACAGACTCTGGGTGGAGATGTCACCTGAAATGATTGAGGTGGGAGGCAGAGGAGGCTGCAAGGGGAGTAACACAGTCTGGTGTTGATCATGCCTTGTTCAGGGTTGTAAGAGTTGCGGCTCTGTCAGCTCAACTAGACAGATAAGCAGGTGATGACACCACATAGTAAAGGAGGCACAGAGAGGGACTTGGTCCTCAGGGAGCCAGACACAGGAGGTGGATGGGGCCACAAAGCATTCAGAGTGGAGACAGGTGGTGAGAGAGAAGACTGGCAGGTCTGGAGATGGTGAGAGAGAAGACTGGCAGGTCTGGAGATGACAGGGTTTCATGGAAGTGAAGCTTCAATGTGCAGTGGAGAGGCAGGCAGAGGTCAGGTAACAAAGGGCCTCCTAGGCAAGGTGAGCAGCATCCTGACTTGCCTGGGAGAGTTTACACCTGTTGTTCCTGCACTAATATTAATAGTGCCCCTTTCATTCTCAAGAGTGTCCCAGTTCGGATGCTAGGTTATACAGTCAGCCCAATTACAAGGCATGTCAAGTAGTCTGCACCTGATCCTGAAGGCAGTGGAGAGTTTGGAGTTTTCTTTTAGAAAGAACACTGTGGAGAATAAAATGGGGATTGTGTGTGTGTGTGTGTGTGTCTGTGTGTGTACAGAAACTAGTTAGGAGGGTACTGCAATGATCGAGGTAGAAGATGATGGCCTTAGCCAGGGAGTGTAGGGTAATGGATAGTTTTACATAGATGTTAGCTTCTGGAGAGCTTGGTGCTCGATGTGGAAGGTGAGAGACTGGAAGAATTGAGGTTTCTGGACTGGGCAGCTACTTGGACAAAATGCAGAAGGCAGAGCAGGTGTGGAGGGAGATTACTGAAGGGCTTGGCTTTGGCAATGCTGTTATCAAGCTACATGTGGAATAAGAGGTATCAGTAGACAGCTTGACAGCTTGGTGAGTCTAGAGTTGAAAAATGACCATGGACTGGAGATACAGGCAATAGGGAACCAGAGACATGGCATGTGTTGCTGATTAGAACTTTAAAACTGAATGCTGAATAAAGAATATAATATTCAGTATGTTATTATGTTCACGCTATTGAATCATTCATAGAATATATTAAGACTAGATCATTTTAAAACCAGTTGAGAACAAAAGTAACATTTAATTATGAAAAGCATTAAAAATAACAACTACATTTTGAAGTATAGAATCATTTCTAAGAATAAAAGGGACTCAGAACTTACATCAGACCTTGGAGAATCTCTTTCTATTTGTGATAAAATAAGGAAGATCTTATAGTATTTAACCCAAACCGCTTACTCTACAAATTAGACCACTAAGATTCAGAAAGGCCAAGGGTTGGCTAGTGAACTTACTGGGAACAAAGACCAGGCTTCTGAATCCCTGGCTGTGCTATGACACTAATCATCTAAGATACTCTCTGTGAAGGGTCAGGTTTGGCCCAATCCTCCGGTACATTTAAGACATTAAGTATTTGATAAAAGTAAATACCTATTTATCACTAAGAAAATTCCTACTCAACAGAGTAGGAATAGGAGGGAACTCCCCTAACTTGATAAAGGTTATTTAACAAAAACAACAAACATAACGGATAACCTCTGAGTATATTCACTTTAAATCGGAAACAAGACAAGGATGTCCATTATCTTAGGACACATGCAAAGACAAAGAAGTAACCAGTGTTAAGAACTGCAAAAAAACAAAAAACAAAAAAACCCCACCAAAACACCCCCCAAAACTCCAGCTGTCATTATTTGCAATGACTGTAATCATATACATAGAAAATCCAGCAGTCTCGACAGAGGTAATGAGACCCACACAAGATCTCAGCAAGGTTATGGGATACAAGATTGCCTACAAAAATCAACAGTATTTCTCTACACCAGCAATAGTTGACTAGAAAAAAATTTTTAGGAAATAAGACATTCACAATAGCAACCCAAAGTGTAAAGTATCTAGATATTGACTTAACTAAGAGAAAAAAAGACTAGGGAAAAAATGTAAACTCTAAGAAAGAACATAGAAGATAATCTATTAGAATGGAAAGGCTTTCCATGGTCTTGATCAAGATAACTTAGTATTAAAAAGATGTCAATTACCCCTAGATGAACCTATAATTTCAATAAAAATT